ATGATGATGAGTATGATGGTGGTGATGATGACGATGTTCATGATGTTGTTGATGGTGATGATGAGGATGGTGACGGTGATGGTGATGGTGACGAAGGCGATCACGACGACGACGACGCCGACAAAAGGACAACGACGGAAGGCGCCCAATCGCCGATGGCCGTTCGGAGCCGCCCCGCTCCGCAGCCCCGTCGGGTCCGCGCACCAGGCCTCGAGCTGCTCGCCCACCTCGTCCAGCGTGGCCCACGTGCCGCGGTCCGCGGTGGGCATCGCCTGTGCAGGTGAGGGGAGGAGTTCTCCTCCTCCTCCCTCCTCCTCCTCCTCCTCCTCCTCCCTCCTCCTCCTCCTCCCTCCTCCTCCTCCTCCTCCTCCTCCTCTCCTCCTTCCTCCTCCTCCTCCTCCTCCTCCTCCCCTCCACACCCTCCACTTCCTCCTCCTCCTCCTCCTCCTCATCCCTCCTCCTCTCTCTCCTCCTCCTCCTCCTCCTCCTCCTCCTCCTCCTCTTCTTCTCCTCCTCCTCCTCATCCTCCTTCTCCTCCTCCTCTTCCTCCTCCTCCCTCGCCCTCCGCCACCTCCTCCTCCTCCTCCGCCTCCTCCTCCTCCAGCTGCGGCCACCCGGGAGCAAGAGGCAGCTCCCAGGTGGCCGCAGCTGGATCTGACGACTATATTCTGCAGCCCTTCCCATGGCCCCCTTCTGAGAAGCCTCAGGGAACTCCTCAGAGGGCCAGGCGCCTTCTCCCCTGTCCGCGCCAACGACTGCAAGCGTGGACGTGGACCAGAAAACGAGCGACACCGCCCCACCTGCGGCCACACGGGGCTTAGGCGCATGCCTGGAAATCTGACGTGGGTGTCTGCGTGGTATGCGCCACGCCCCCGATGGGCCAAGGGCGCAACATGGAAGGCCGCAGATGGGGTGGTGTCGTTTGTTTGTTGCTCAAAAGCGGGCGTCTTCGGCCTCGCGGTTCTGCGGCGTGTCCAGCGTCTGCGGCGCTATGCCGATCGTCTTGCAGCCCGCCGGCAGCCTCTCAACGCGCGCGCGCGCCGGTGCCTCCAGAGAGCGGGCACGGGCACGCCCGCGTCTGCGGCGTCCGCTTCCCGCCCGTCTACTAGCATCGTACTCCTCCTCCTCCTCCTCCTCCTCCTCCTCCTCCTCCTCCTCCTCCTCCTCCTCCTCCTCCTCCTCCTCCCCTCCCCTCCCCTCCCCTCCCCTCCCCTCCCCTGTCATCCCATCCACACCCCTCACCCTCCCCATCCTCCTCCGCCGCTCTTGTTCCCTATGAATAACCCCTCCCTCTCGCACCCCGTAGCCGGCCGAAAGGGCGGGCCAGGCGTTTCGCCAGACATTTCCTCACCAATTATGACCCTAAAGCTAAGAACTTGACAACAGCTTCACAGATGGAGGGCGGGGGAGCTTTCAAAATTTGGCTCTCTGCGTATCGCCGCGCACACTCGTTGTACATATTTGCGCAAGTCTTCGTCGTTTCAAAATGTAGCTCTCGCCTTAGCGCCGCGCACATTCCTGATAATAATATGCAAGAGTTTCAACGATTGAAGGCGGGCCGTTTTCAAGAAGTGGTTTTCGCTGTAGCGCCTCGTTTTAGCAAATTGCAGCAAATTCACAGATTCAGGGCGGGTCGTTTTTCAACTAACACAGCAGTTCCCCCAGTGGAAATGAACCCTTGTAGGGGCCCATGACGAGGGAGAGGGTATATTCCAACATCGTTGATGAGTCTCGGGTTTATAGTGGTCCTCCTCATCCTCCTCCTCCTCCTCCTCCTCCTCCTCCTCCTCCTCCTCCTCCTCCTCCTCCTCTTCCTCATCTTCCATCCTTGAATAACTCCTCCCTGTCGCACCCTGGGGACAGTCGGATGGGCGGGCGAGGCGCTTAGACTGAGCATTCCTCACCATTTATGAACCTAACGCGTACAAATTGGCAACAGTTTCACAGATGGAGGGCGGGTGGTTTTCAACATGTGGTTCTTGCCTAGCGCCGCGCACTTTCGTCATGAAAACTTACAAGAACTTCACGGATTGAAGGTGGCTCCTTTTCAAAATGTGGCTCTCGCCTTAGCGCCGCGCACATTCGTTTTAACCATGTGCAAAAATTTCACGGATTCAGGGCGGGTCGTTTTCATAATGTGGCTCTCGCCTTAGCGCTGCGCACATTGGCCTACAACATTTGCAAGAGGTTCTTTGGTTCTCATGGTTGACGTGCCAGAGATGGTGCTTTGTAATGATTCAGGAGTGTCAGGTCGCAACAATTACGTTGATTCGCGGAGTTGAAGTCCCAGGAATGGTGTTCCAGCACCGTTCAGGAACGTCATGGCGCAACAGCCAGGTTGACTCGTGGCGTTAGGGTCCCGAAAATGTTTGGGGGCACGCTTCGGGGTCTTCAAAGGGTTGACGCCCGACGAGGCAGCTCCCTCAGCGGAATTCAACCTTGTGGAGGCCTATGAAGGGTGAGCTTGGAGGGAGGTTATATTCGAAACTCGTTGATGAATCGTGGGCTTACATTGGTCCTCTCCCTCCTCACCGTCATCATCATCTCTTTCATCATCAGCATCATCAGCAGCATCAGCATCCTAATCACCGCGATCATCATCATACTAATCAGCATCATCTGCATATGTGTCGTCAGAGTCACAATCATCACCAGCATCGCCATCCTTACCCTTATCATCATCAACATCATCGTCATCATCGTTGCAATCACCATCTTCATCATCACCATTATCATGGTAATCGTCATCCTCATCATCATCATCATCGTCATCAGCATCAGCATCATCATAGTCATCATCATCATCAGCAGCATCAGCATCATCAACATCATCATTGCATCAACATCATCTTCGTCAACATCGACATCGTCATCGTCAACATGATCGTCATAAGAACAAACATCATCTTCATCAGCATCATCATCGTTTATTTGGACAGTCGTCACCATCATCGTACTAAGCAGCAATGTAGTGATCGTCATCGTCATCAGCAGCATCAGCATCATCAGCAGCAACATCATCACCATTGTCACCGAAATCTTAAACAACACCATGACCAGAATCATCATCACCCTCAGCACAGCATCTGCATCAGCATCACCAACAACAAAATAATCATTGTTCTCGTCGTCTTCGTCGTCAGCATCACCATCCGCATCACCACCACCGCCATCATCCTACATCATCCTTCCTCTTCCACCCTCCTCCATCCTGTTGCCTGATACTCACACTACTCATATTGTTCCTGCTCCTCCTACCACCATCCCTCTCTCTCTCTCTGTCTCTCTCTCTCTCCATCCCATTCCACTCCCCTCTCTCTCTCCCTCCCTCAAGCGTTCGCTTGACCCCCCAATTGACCATCGTATCTCCAGAACCCCCAGACCTCCGACGACTCGATTTGTTTCAAGTCTATGGCCGCTGGACCTGTAGACCTTTTCCCCAAGGCTTGATTTTCATCCAAAAACGTTGCTGTCGGTCCCGGGACCGTGAATCGCCCCAGGGTGCAAAGGAATACGCCCCCCAAAAAAACACTCCCGTCGCCAAAGTCTGGGCATCACATCCTGTGCGCGCGCGATGAAAGCCTGACACTGGCACTCCCCAAAAATCTCTGGGGCGCGATGTGAGTAGAATTCCTGAACGGATCTGGCTGTGGCGAAGACGACCCATAGCTTGCCGTCGCTCGGACGTCCGTTTCCCGTGCATTTTTCGGTTTCGGGCGTGTGTGTTTTTTGCTCGATGGCCCAGGATGGTCCTTGATGGTTCTCGCCGAGAAAAAATGCACACGTCCGAGCGATGCCAAGATAGAAGCAAAAAAGACAGGAAAGTCCTCCCTCCGACGCTCGACGGGTGACCTCTGCCGCAGGCCCAGCGCGCGCGCCGGCGCACCCGGCGCTCTCGGCGTCCGCCAGGGAGCGCACCAGGTGGTGCACGGCAGCTTTGGCGGTGCCGTACCTGCGCGGCGACGGGTGTCGACACGCTTCGCCGCGGCACCGAAGTGAGCTGGTTCCTCCTCCTCCTCCTCCTCCTCCTCCTCCTCCTCCTTCTCCTCCTCCTCCTCATCCTCCTGCTCCTGCGCATTTCCTCCGTCCGCGCACCCCCTCCGTCCCTCCAACGTCCGTTCTCCTCCCTCTTCGTCCTCCTCCTCCTCCTCCTTCTCATCCTCGTCCTCGTCCTCCTCCTCCTGCTCGTCCTCATCCCTCCTCCTCCTCCTCCTCCTCCTCCTCCTCCTCCTCGTCCTCCTCCTCCTCCTCGTCCTCGTCCTCGCTCCTCCTCCTCCTCCTCTCGCCTCCTCCTCCTCCTCCTCGTCCTCCACCTCGTCCTCGTCCTCCTCCTCCTCCTCCTCCTCCTCCTCCCTCCTCTCCTCCTCCTCCTCCTCCTCCTCCTCCTCCTCGTCCTCGTCCTCCTCCTCATCCTCCTCCTTCCCTTCCTCCTTCTCCTCCTCCTCCTCCTCCGCCTCCTCCTCCTCCGCCCTCCTCTTCCTCCCTCCTTCCTCCTCCTCCTCCTCCTACCTCCTCCTCCTCGCCTCCTCCTCCCTCCTCCTCCTCCTCCTCCTCCTCCTCCTCCTCCTCCTCTCCGCCTCCTCCTCCGCCTCCTCCTCCTCCTCCTCCTCCTCCTCCTCCTCCTCCGATCCATCTAAACATATTCTGTGAAAGCGCCTGTCGATGCCCCGCGCCCCAACACACAAAACACGGCGACTGCTTCTTACCTATTCGGGACGTATCTGCACTAGCGGGCTAAACAAGAACATTCCTGGAGAGACCCTGTGGCGAGTCACACCGTTCTCCCCAGGTCAGGTCACAAAACTGAGAGCCAGACCTTGGGCACTCTTCCCCATGGACGACCACCACAATTTCTAGCGCTTCTTATGAGGGCAAGGAGGTCGGCTGGCGCTGGGGTCCTGGGTTCAGACGCCCTCCACCCAGCATGCTACTTGGCCCAGCTGGGGAAGAGGCCCTGGAACGGACGGTTCCTCTGTCATTTCAAATCTTTGGTGGGGGGGGCATGCTCGGGCAATACCTGCAAAGCGAATCCACGCCCGCCCAAGCATAGCCCCCGCACCCGATGCACGACATCACCCACCCCCTCCCACCAACCAGACTCCCCGCCCCATCCCACGCCTTGAACATCAGCGGGCCGTGCCCCAACAGCATCACGGGCGAACTGGATTCCGAAAGGGCCCGCGAGCAACCTTCCGTCTGGCGGGAGCCGAGGAGAACGGAAGCCTCAAGCCTTAAGAGCACCACAGCTCGGGCCGAAGACGCTTCCTCGAAGCACACGTGGGCTGCACCAGGGTTAGGTCGGGCGTGTCCCCCTACAGGCGGATCTTGGACGACAAATTGAAGATACTCCAAAACGAATCGAAGAGGCTCGAAAATGGTCCGAGAATCGTCCCCATACGATCTTTTTACCTATCTTTGAGCACTCCTCCTGCAGAGGGACGCGCCCGACGTCACCTCGGGAGCACCACAGCTCGGGCCGAAGACGCCTCCTCGAAGAGCACGCGCGGGCTGCACCTGAGGTGACGAACCAACAACACACACCCATACCCATAGGGGGGTCGGAGAGGGCTATGGGTACGTGTTGTCAGATGGGGATCCCCGCTCGAACGGGAGCGTTCCCCAGGGTCCGACAACCCGCACCCATACCCATAGCGAGTCCTCCTCCCAACGACGGCCCCTGTGGGGGGGGGTCCTGCTCGTGGGCCTCGGGCTCCCCAGGGGAAAGCCCTGGGCGGCTCGGCCCACGACCTCTGGCGCAGCAGGACGTCCCGGACACCCCCCCACCACCACCACCATCACCACCCACCTCCTCCTCCTCCTCCTCCTCCTCCTCCTCCTCCTCCTCCTCATCATCATCATCATCATCATCATCAGCATCATCATCATCATCATCAGCAGCATCATCATATCATCATCATCATCATCATCATCATCATCATCATCATCATCATCATCATCATCATCATCATCATCATCATCATCATCATCATCATCATCATCATCATCATCATCATCATCATCATCATCATCATCATCATCATCATCATCATCATCATCATCATCATCATCATCATCATCATCATCATCATCATCATCATCATCATCATCATCATCATCATCATCATCATCATCATCATCATCATCATCATCATCATCATCATCATCATCATCATCATCATCATCATCATCCTACCTCCTCCTCCTCCTCCTCCTCCTCCTCCTTCTCCTCATGTATCCAGAGGCCTCCAAAATGGGGTCCGAGTAGATGGGGTCGAACGATCGCACCGCATCGACGATACATCGGCGACGTATCGGCGATGCATTGACGATGCACCGGCGACGTCGGCAAGGCATCGGCGACGTCGACGTGAAGCAAAATGGGATCCTCGTCGAGCCGCATCGCCGATGACTCGGCTATGCGGAGTGATCCTTCGACCCCGTCTACTCGGACCCCATCTGTGAGGCCTAGAGATGAATATCGTTCCCCAGTTTTGAAGGTCGGAAAGGGGTGTGGTAGAAAGCTTGGTGCCAGTGCTGACGATGGCGATGTTATCTACGATAGCCGCATTCAACATTCTCATTATTGGCTTTGCGCCGACCGCCCCAAACAACGTCAGAAGTCCTGATTCCAGCTTCCCCAAGCGACTGGAGTCCCCCATGTGAGCGGCAGCACAAAAACCCTTTCAAGGACGCACGATCACCGAGCACGCAAGTTCGGAAACTCCGAATCGCGGAAAGCGTGACTCCAGAATGTCCTTACTTCTAACTGTTGGGAGAAGAAAGAAGGGGAAGGAAGCGCGACAAACCACTGCAACGCCGAAGGCCAAAACTTGCATTGGCCTCAAACTGCCCAGAATTTGCGTATGACCCAACCAGACCCAGGACTGAAGAACATCCTTCAAGAACATGAGACCCTCCGCCGGCCAAATCACCCCAAAGCATAAGACCACTCGAGGATGCCCTCCCCAAGGATGCACAAGAACATCCAACAAGCACGAAGAACATGAGGCCACCCTCCCCGAAGCGACCTTGATGCTCTACCTCGGTCCGACCGTACGAAACGCCCGACTTTCTCGGGGATCCACTGACCCGGGTCAATCCAGACCAGGGCCAGTCAGTCTTTGCAGGATCCTACAGGATCCTGCACCCAAACCCCCGTCAGTGCACCCATGGCCCTGCAGAATCCTACAAGATCTGGCGCTCTGACTGACCCCTGTTTGCGTTGACCCCCCGTCTCTTGAGCCCCGACAGAACTTGGGGGCGAATTACTGGGGTTAGGGTGTCCCCCTACAGGCGGATGTTGGACGAAATCTGAAAAACAGTCCAACAGTACTCGGAAATAGCCGAAAGTACTGGAAAAATCGTCCCCCCGACTATTCTTTGTAGAGGGACAGGCCCGACTTCATACTGGAGGGGCGATAGATGGGGTGGGGGGGAAGAGAGGTGCCCTTCTCGGGCCCTTCCTGCGGTATAGGGGCGATCTTCGGGGCGCCTTCGGCCGTCTTGGAGCGCTGGAAGCTCGAGAAGGCGAGACAACGAAAAACATGTGAAAAACCAGCGGATATCAAGGCTATGGGTTTCTTCTGGCTCTTTCGGAATGCTTCCCGGGGCTCTTGAAGCCTCGTCTTGGAGGGGCCCCCTCCTGGGCCCCCAGAGGGCCCTTTCAGGGGCCCGGGGCCCCCCTTCTGCAGCCCTCGCTGCCCCTCCGCCCATCGCCCCGCGACCCAGCGCGCCGTATTACAGTCCTCGGCCTGACCTCAGGAACGAGAAATAAGAAGCGAAGCCCCTATACCCAAGCAGTAACGCATAGGGAACGATAGAGACTGTCGGGGGCTTGACCTAAGGAACCCAAAATAAGGAACGAGGCCCCTTATGTCCATGAGTTAAACTTCGATTTCCGATCGAAAACATAAGGAAAACCTGAGGCAAGCTGCGAAACACTCAAAGGAAAGCGGAGCCCCTCCCAAACGAAAAGGGTTCCTTCTTCAGGGCCCCGACTGTACTGCATCTAACGCGTAAGGAAGGATCAAATAAATGCAAGCCTGAGGATCGGCCAAGCCCCATTTTGAAAAATGAGCGTTCCTGATTCGAGCCGCTCACTGCACGCGTCCCCTGGAGAAGAGAGAAAGAAAAATCCGGGCACCTCCAAGGGGGGCGCCTCGGGCCGGACGTCCCCAGGGGGCCGAGCTCCCGCCCGCGGCCCCCAGCGCCAGGCGGTCGCCTTTAGAGCGAGGCCCGCGGCTCCAAGAGGGGGCCCTGGGACGACTTTCCCCGAGCAGAGGGCATCTGTCAGAGCCCCCGCGCCGCCTCCGCGAAGGGGGGGCCTCCGAGGGGCGAGGGGGCCTCCGACGGGGGCCTCCGACGGGGGGGCCTCCGAAGGGGGCGCCTCCGAAGGGGGGGCCTCCGATGGGGGGGCCTCCGAGGGGGGCCTCCGAGGGGGGCCTCCGAAGGGGGCGCCTCCGAAGGGGGGGCCTCCGATGGGGGGCCTCCGAGGGGGGGCCTCCCCGGGGAGCCTCCGGCGGGGCCCCCGCGCCGCCTCGGAGGGGGGGCCTCCGAGGGGGGCCGCCGCGGAGGGGGCGGGCCGCCCTCGGGCCGCCCGAGGGGCTCGCGGCGGCGGGGCACGGCAGGCTCCAGCCCGTGGGGCCCAGCGCGGCCGCGGCGCCCGGGAGCACCAGCAGCCCACCAGGTCTCAGCGCCTGCCGTCGTCGTCGTCGTCGTCGCCGTCGCCGCCGCCGTCGTCGTCGCCGTCGTCGTCGTCGCCGTCGTCGACGTCGCCGTCGTCGTCGCCGTCGTCGTCGTCGTCGACGTCGCCGTCGTCGTCGTCGCCGTCGTCGACGGCGTCAGCGCCGTCCCCCCATCGCATCCGGGGGCCCAGCAGTGTCGGGGCCTCGAGCTTCGAGGATCGAGGCCTTCTTGTCCGACCTCTGGGGGGCGGGGGGGGCCTCCTCGCCACGGCGGGGCTCGCCTCCAGCTATTATGGCCAGGGGGCGCGCGAGGGGAAGTCTGGGGGTCGACGTTTGGCCCCCAAGCTTAACTGAAATCCCTTCGCGTCGTAAAAAAATAGCGGCGGGGGGGCGTGTCTCATCTTCGGCCTCCGGGGGGCCCCCGCCCAGCCCTGAGGCCGTCAGGAAGCGGCTCGGGGCGAGAAGTCAGCCTGGGGAGTGGGTCCAGACCTCCTGGGGGTCGACGCTTTGGAAAAAAAATCCTGACGTCGGGAGTCTGGGAAAGGGGGGGGTCGTGAACGGGTGGTGGGCGATGCCGCCCGCGACGCCGGTTCCGCCATCGCCTCCCACTGCCGGGGAAGCGCGAACGGATCTCGGCGGTGGTGGTGGGGTCGTCTTCCCCCAGCGGAGACACCCCCTGTCCTGGTCTTTTTTTTTCCCGAGTTTTTTTTCCCCGCCAAGACGCCAGTCGCGTCTTGTCCTGACAACCGACTGAAGCCAAACGCATGCAGCGGCACGCGCTTGGAGATTCTCTTATATATAATAATAATAATAATAATAATAATAATAATAATAATAATAATAATAATAATAATAATAATAATAATAATAATAATAATAATAATAATAACAACAATAATAATAGTAATAATAATAAAAAATAATAATAATAATAATAATAATAATAATAATAATAATAATAATAATAATAATAATACGAATAATAATAATAAATAATAATAATAATAATAAATAATAAATAAATAACTAAATAAATAAATAAATAATAATAATAATAATAATAATGATAATAATAATAATAATAATAGAGGGAGCGAAGGGAACGACCTGTCCACCACCGTCGTAGCCCCAGCAAGAGCGGGAGGGGCCAAAGGCCGAGAAGCCCCCCGTCCTCTGGTCTTGGTGCCACTCTCCTGGCCGCACTCGAGACCCAGACCGGGACGGACCCCTGGGCACACCCAGGCGCCGCGACTTTCGACCCCTGGTTAGGGGGCCACACGCGAACCCTACCCCTACCCCCCACGATTTCTGTGGGAGAGGGTGGGGTTCGCTTCGCTCGGGAGCTCCCAAGCGAAATGAACCCCTCCCTCCCCCTCAGAAATCGTGGGAGTTGGGAGTAGGGTTCGCTTGTGGCCCCCTACTGGTGCAATCTCTGTGGGCCCAGAGAGCCACGGCACGAAAACAAATCCGCCGACCCTGTCGGCGTGTGTGAGGGGCTTTTCCGTTCGAGCCGTCATCTCCGTTATTCTTTGTACTCGTCGTCTCTGTCCTTCCCTTTCCCTGGGACTCCTCTTCCCCTGGGCTCCAGCCAAGCCGACCTTGAGCAACGTCGTAATTCAGTCGAAGGGAAGCCCCTTCCCTTTGATCCCTCCCCCGCCGGGAGGGGGGGGGGGGTAGCGACCCCCCCCCCGGGTCAGATACGACGCCCCCCCCTGGGACTCCTCTTCCCCTGGGCTCCAGCCAAGCCGACCTTGAGCAACCTCGTAATTGAGTCGAAGGGAAGCCCCTTCCCTTTGATCCCTCCCCCGCCGGGAGGGGGGGGGGGTAGCGACCCCCCCCCCGGGTCAGATACGACGCCCCCCCCCCCGTACCGACCTTGAGCAACGTCGTAATTGAGTCGAAGGGAAGCCCCTTCCCTTTGATCCCTCCCCCGCCGGGAGGGGGGGGGGGTAGCGGGGGGGGGTAGCGACCCCCCCCCGGGTCAGATACGACGCCCCCCCCCGTACCGACCTTGAGCAACGTCGTAATTGAGTCGAAGGGAAGCCCCTTCCCTTTCCCTTCCCCGACGGGGGGGGGAGGGGGGGTCCCGGGGGGGGTCCCAGGGGAGTCCCGGGGAAGTCCCGGGTCAGATACGACACCTCCCTCCCCCACCTTCTCGTCCTTCTCCCCGTTCCCCAAAACCATCCCACAGCCCGTGCCTCTTGCTGCGCATTGCGAACAGGGTCGGCGGCACCGGCCGTAAGGCCTTCGCAATCGTCGGGGCGTTGGACACTCCGCGACGCGGCGCACGAAGACGAGGGCCGTAGGGCTCATGCGAAATCGTGCTCCCCCGCCCTCCACGTGCACGGCCCCACGAAACACAGCCGCCTCGATCACCCCCCTTCCATGTCAGCAGGAACGTTGGAGAACACGGTGGGCGACGCATTGACCGCGCTGCGCATTCCATTGGAAACCGAGCCCCATTTGTGGTCGGGGCTGCGGCCCCGGGGAGCGGGCTGGGCCCGACGTCCCCCCATTTGCGGTCGAGGCTGCGGCCCTGGGGCCCCCGGGCCCGGTGCGGCGTTATATCTATATAACTGCCCGCCCCTGGAGGCGGGAGAACAGCCACAAGTATCCACCACGCCTCGGGACACCAGGGCTCGACCCCGAGGCGGCGGACGTGGACCGTACTGTCGAGGCGTTGACCTAAGGAACCCTAAAGAAGGAACGAGGCCCCTTTTTTCCCCCATTTGGGCCACTCCGACTTCCCATCGAAAACTCAAGGAAAACCTTAGGCAAGCTGTGGAACAATTGGGGAACACCGAGCCCCTCCCCGACGAAAATGGCTGCGTTTTCAGCGCCCCGACTGTATGATCTGGCGATGGAGACTATCCACACCATCTTTTTGTTGTGTTCGTCCGGGTCGGACTGGTTTCTTCTTGTGGTCCGCGGGCGCCGAATGGTCCAAGACGTCAGACGCCGGTCAGCAATAGTGGGGTGCACCGGGGGCAAATTGGGGCGCGGAGGCGACAAGGAACAGAGCGCGAGGAGGGAAGGAGGAAGGAGCCCGCTCAGACAATTGAAGCCGACGCGGGGCTGCTGTAGTACAGGGTCGGACGAACCGGAGGGTTAGCAAAGGGGGCCAGCGAATCGGCTAACGCAGCTGACTTTCACACCGCCTCCCGGCGGAAGCGCCGGTCTATCTAAAGGAGAGTCACCCCGCGGCGGGGCCGAAAGCACCTTCACCCAGCAGGTTTCGTAAACCCCCCTTTCCTTACCCGCCTGTCGGAGGAAGTAGGTGGAAACATGAAGTACAGTCGGGGCGTTGACCTAAGGAACCCTAAATAAGGAAAGAGGCCCCTGTTTCCCATAAGTTAATCTTCGATTTCCTATCGAAAACCTAAGGAAAGCCTGAGGCAAGCTGTGAAACACTTAAGGAACGCGGAGCCCCTTCGAAACGAAAAAAAATCCTTCTTCGGAGCCCCGACTGTAGCAGATCGGCTTCGGGACCGCCCATGGAGCATCAAAACCAACAAAAACACGGAGCAGGAAAGCGCTGGAAGTAGACTGGGATGCGGGAATCCAGAATTATCTACTTTCGACCCGAGAGGGGCGCGGAGCAGAGGGACCCGCAACCTTACGCAGAAGCAGCGGCAACTTACGCGCGCATGTTCGGAGGCCCGCGCCGACTTCCTGGCCCGAGGCTCGAGGCTCCAGGGTCCCGGGGGAGAAGCGACGGGGGGCCTCCTGAGAAAGCAAGGGGGGTCTCACAAGCCCTCCCTCGCTCCCGGTGTGCGCGCCGTGCTGGCGACGTGGGCGGCCACCACGGAGGAGTACCTCGGGCACGCGACGACCGCCCGCGGCGCTGGCGCGAGGCGAGGGAGCCGAGCGGCGCCCTCCCGCCCCGCGCTCGCGCTCCACTCCCGCGCGCCGGACGCCGTGCCCATGCCGCCAGGACCTCTCTCCCGCTTCCTGGCCCCTCCAAGGAGGAAGCGACTCTCTCCTCCTCCCCCTCCTCCTCCTCCTCCTGCTGTCGCTGTCCGCGTCGGCCTCGGAATTCGCTTCGAACGCGACCACCCCTCCTCCGCCCCCTCCTCCCCATACTCCTCCACCATTTCCTCCTACTCCGCCTCCTCCTCCTCCTCCTCCTCCTCCTCCTCCTCCTCCTCATCCTCCCTCCTCCTCTTTCCTCCTCCTCTTCCTCCTCCTCTTCCTCCTCCTCCTCCTCCTCCTCCTCCTCCTCCTCCTCCTCCTCCTCTTCGTCTTAGTACTAGTATGTTTATCCTTAGTAGCATGTTTATTATTATAATGGTTTTTCGTGTTGTTATGATTATTAATACACTCATTATGAATCGTACGATTCGCATTATAACACGTAGTATTACTAATCTTATTCGTAAATACAATATGATGCGTATTATGACTATTATTTGTAGTAGTGTCCGACTTAGCAGTCTGAATATTCTTCGTAGCACTAGCATGTTTAGTGCGATTCGTAATGTGAGTCGTCTTCTTAGTATTCGTCTTATTATTGAAAGTGGCAGTGGTATTGTTAACATGATTAGTCCTCTTATCATTAAAAATAGTCGTATGAGGCGTACTGCTACTATGATTATGAGTCGTGCTATTAGTATTCGCATTATGAGTCTTATTATTGCTAAGCATATGATTAGTGCTCTTATGAATAGTTTTGCTAGTAGTAAAAATAGCATTCGTGCTCGTATTAGTCTTAGTAGTATTATTCGTATTAGTATAGTTGGTAGTGATCTTAGTATTGGTCGTCGCAGTCGTAAGTTATTAGTATTGTTATTATTTGGCGCATTAATATTCTTATTGGTAGTACAGAATTCTTAGTCTCAGCGTTACTAGCAATACTATTCGTAATAGTCGTATTTTGAGCATTATTACTATTACGCTTCATTATGTTAGTATGCTTTTTCCTCCTCCTCCTCCTCCTGCTCCTCCTCCTCCTCTTCTTCCTCCTCCTCCTCCTCCTCCTCCTCCTCCTCCTCCTCCTCCTCCTACCCCCCTCCCCCGTCCCGCGGAGGAGGCGCCGGCGCCAGCAGCGGACGCGTGCGCACCGCGCGAGCGCAGGGGCGAGCGTGCAGCGGGCGTGGGAACCGAGCGGCCGCGGCGCGCAGAGGGCCGAGTCGTCGCCGCTCGCCGCGGACTGCGGCCGCCCGAGTCGTCGCTCGACCTTCGAGCTGGCCGCTCGCTCGTCGCCCCGTCGCCCGCTCGTCGGTCGCTCGGTCGCTCGCGTGCTCCCTCGCCCGATCGCTCGCTCGTCGCCCCGTCGCCCGCTCGTCGGTCGCTCGGTCGCTCGCGTGCTCCCTCGCCCGATCGCGCGCTCGCCGCCCGGTCGACCCGTCGCCCGATCCTCGGGCGGGCCGCTCGCCGTGGCTCCGCCTGGGGGAGCACAAGAGGGCACCGATGCGGCCACTGCCCGAACCTCTCCCGGGGGTGCGCTCTGACCAGGAGTTCGCTCCGAACCTGGCCGTGGCGACGAGGGCCCTCGAGGTTCGGGTTCGAGGCTCGAGGTCTTCGGCGCGTTTCGTCGGTTCTCGCAGCCTCGGGATGCTTGTCAGAAGCTGCGCCGCGCCGGGGGCGTTCCAGGGGTGCCCGAATCGCCCGGAACGGCCGCCAGAGCCCCGAGTTGCGACCCAAAAACCAATCTCGGCTGCGAGAGAGGGCGACAAGAGAGAAAAAAAAAGGCCCTCTCAGAAGGCGGCGGGACTTCTCCGAAGCCCGTGCCCCCTCTGAGAGGTATTCGGTGTCTTCTGGGAAGGCTTGGGAAACTGATCAAAAGGCCAGGGGACTTCCGAGCCTTCTGCGAAGGCCCGCCCCTGCTCACTTCCCCCCCGGGCTCGGCAACACCCGACCTCGGGACCCGCTTCACATCCATGGCGACCGCTCGCCGCCTCGCCGCCGCCGCCGCGCACGTCGCCGCCGCCGCGCGCCTCGCCGCGCGCCTCGCCGCCGCCGCGCGCCTCGATCGCTCAGTCGCCGCCGCGCGCCTCGCCGCGCGCCGCCTTGAGGAGTGGCCGCTGTCCCGCGGCCGCGGGCGCGCGCGGGCCGCCGGCAAGGGCGCGGGATGGGCGGCGCGGCGCACACGGAAGACTCGACCATGGCGCGGGTCCTGCGGGGGGGGCGCCACATTGGCTGGGGCGCAGAAGGACGGAAGGTGCCGGCAGCACAGCGGAGGCTCCGATATGTCCCCCTCAAAAAACAGCAGCAGCACAAAAAACACAATCTTAAGGTGACCCCGCCTGTGGGTCGACGGCAAGAGCGCGCAGCCCTTCCGATACCAGCACGGCTCTGTTGCGACAGCATGGCCATGTCCCAAACCTCCAGCGGACTGCTGATTGACCAGAGCTATCGACCCCTTCCCCAGGCCGATTTCTGATTTCGGGTCGTTTTCTGATGGTGCTAGATCGAGGAAGCGTAAGACTCGGGTTCGGGTGATCCGGGTTGCTTTGACGGGCCCAACATCAAAATGACAAAACCCAGTCTGCCATTTGGCGTGCGCCCCCCCGCTGCAGACATCAAACGAAAACTGGACCGCTGAAATTCAGAACACGCTCGTCAAACAAAATCGGTAAACCCGAGTTTTGACGCACTCGAACCTGACGTTTCCCCGGCAACAACCCTTGGATTTGGAATCCAAGTGGAATAGAAGGTGGAGGAGAGGGGAGAGGTTGCCAGCATGGGATCGGGAGGGGCTGGATGCCACCGCCTCCCGTTCACTCTCATCTCGCCCACAAGCACACGCCCTGTCTTCTACATACAGAAACTCCCGATCAACCGCAAAAAGGCCGGCCTGAATAAGGAATCCAAAACCTGAAAGCTGGTGGAACACCAATCGAGGCTTGGCTTGACCATGGGTATCACAAACACCCTCATCGGATGAGAAGTCCTCCAGGGTCTGAAACCTCCTGGCACGTTCCTTAACGAACGCCCTCAGCGCACCACTACGATGCATCCCTCTTGGAGGCGTGCGTCCGACCAGGTCATACAACGCAACCTCGATACAGTATTGCATATCCCGTTTTCGCGGGCGGTCAGAGCCGCGATCGACATGAGATGGATCGGCGGAAATCGTAAACCAGTTCGGGAGGAGTCGCATCGGCGGAGACCGACAAGCTGATTTGGCCCCATTGACGAACCAACATTCAAATCAGAATCCGACGTCGAAATCGAACCGGAGTCGACATGAGTCCCGCCCCCTCGGGGAAGGATCGCTGTCGAAGACTCGCCCAAGATGGCCGCGGTCCAAGATTGGCCCCCGCTGGAAAAGCCAGCGGCCGACGCGGGAAAGGGGAGGGGCCACTGGGCGTCAGCTGGCCCTCTCTGGGAGGGAGGATCGCTGCCGAAGGTTAGCCCAAGATGGCCCTGGGGGCCCCAAGCTGAGGTGCCAGATCCGCCGTCGTCGTGAGAGTCGTCATCGCCGCCGTCGCCGTCGAAGCCGTCGTCGTCGCCGTCGTCGCCGCCGAAGCCGTCGCCGTCGAGACCGCCGTCGTCGTCAGACCCAGTGATAACCAGGAGCGTCTCGGCCAGGCGGTACCGCTGCGGTGTCGAGGACTTCGCGCAGCTGCACGCGCTGGCCATGCTCTCTCGCACGCGCCAGGCGCGTAAGCGGAATGAAAGGGGAGGGAGGGAGAGGGAAGGGAGGAGGGGAAATGAGGGGACGAGCAGGGGGGGGGGAGAATGCCCAGTGCAAGCGATCGTGTCTAGCCGAACTCTGCCGCGGGGCCTGTCCTGCGAACGTGGCCGAAATGCGACCGCAGCGGCGCACCCATCAAGGACTCCTGCGACACACGGGGCGTCCACCCAGCGTCGGCCAGCATCAGGTGAAGGGAGGAAGGGAAGAGGAGGAGGAGGAGGAGGACGACGACGACAAAGGGGGAGGGGACAGGCGGAGGAATAGTCAAAAACCAATCGTAGACAATGCCGATGCTGTCGTCGTCACCGCCGTCGTCGACGTCAAAGTCGGCAAAGTCGAGGCTATTAAAGTCGTCGTCGTCGATATCGCTTGTCGTCTTCAAAATCAACGCTGTCACCGTCGAAATCGTCGTCGTCGTTGCATTCGTCAAAGTCGTCATCATCGTCCTTGAAAGCGCCGTCATCAAAGTCATCGCCAAAGTCGACCTCGTCACCGTCAAAGTCGTCGTCGTCGTCGCTGTCGTCATCATCGCAGTCGTCAAAGCCGCGTTGTCAATGATGACGACGACGGTAACGCGGTCGAGTTGGGGAGGGGAGGGGGAGGAGCGAAGGAGAAGTGAGGACAGGGCAGAGAGGTCGCTGCCAGCGCAACTGTGTATCCTCCATTCTGGTTGTTCAAATAATTTCGCCGTCGTGTTGTTTGACAACTCACACGCGAGGGCGCTCTGAGGGGGTCCGCCGGAGAAGACAATGGCGGGGCGGGTTGGGAGGGCAACGGGTGTCAGCCAGCCCTCGAAGATTAGCCCAAGCAAGATGGCCCCCTGAGGACCCCAAGGTGGTCCCAAGGCGATCCAAGCTGGTCTCGAGGTGGCCCAGGACGCGACAAACAAGTGACCTTCGCTGTCTTGCCTTTCAGGGCTCCAGCGGGCTTCTCGGACCCAATGGCGGCCTCAAGAGGACCCCCACTGACCCCAAGAACACTCCAGGATAATTCCAAAAGCCAACACGAGGGCCAAAAGCGCCCCAAGGCGGCTCCAAGGATCTCAACGAGAGATCAAATTGGGCCCAAAGGTGGAGCATGCGAGTCCTCCAAAGGACGTCTGGTGAACGAGCAACGCCGAGGCTTCGGTCGGGCGCACAAGAAGCACCCGAGAAGCTCACCAGAGGCCCAAGAGACC